AGCAGGACTAGAAAACCCGTGGCTGCACTGCAAATGCTCTTTCCCCGATATAAGCAAAGTATTGCATAGGATAAGACTCTACACCATTACATAATGAACAGCATTCTAGGCTTTAAGTGGCTGTTAAAAGCTATTCTGTCCCAAGCATGTATTATATGCAGTGGATTCATACCTCTCCTTCCAGACAAGCGAGGTGCGACCGAGACTCTTCCCGACTTCTCATTTGCAGCAGGTACAAAGCCTGCAGCTGCAAGACATGTCACCCAGTTTTGTGCAGCTCTTAACTTGCCTTACCTATAGACCGCAGTTAACCTTAGGGACTGGCAGACTGCTGCTATGGTTTATCTTTCAGAAGCCTGTCCTCAGGCTTCTGAATGCTGTAAGACACTTCCTAGGCAATCAGTGCTCATTAGAGAACTGTTACAGTAAGACATAACTGTTATCATACTATAAACAGGCAAGTTCCAGGGAAAGCAACATGTAAATCAATCTAGGTAAGTAACATTACTCTTAAAACATCTAACTTGACTCCAAATATTTTATGATTAACTGCAGACTATGGCTACAAGCCAGTTAGCTAATAGAGTACTAGTTCCCTTAACTGTTAAATGGGGGGAGTGACTTGCCATCATACTACAAGCTGCAAATAACTTGGTTTCCTTCTACCTCTGAAACTTTTTTTAGAAATAAGGACAGAACCGTGGGCCAGCAAGTCACATTCAAACATTTCCTCATCCTCCCCCCTCCTGGGAGCTTTTTGTACGGCCTTGTTCAATAGACCTCCTATCTGCATCTAAAGTCGCACTCTGAACTCTCCAGAACAGGAATTGTATCTTGTCTGCAAAATGGACTACAATTAGTGAGCTACTTTCCAGCGGTCAGTATAAAAAGCATTTCTCATGTACAGTTAGTACAGACAGAGGCTTTGCATGGACTGCTCAGATAACTTACCAGCAGATGTCCTCCAGCTGGGGGCTTGACTGATACCTCCTGGTCTCTTGAACAGGAGGAGGACATCAAATACAACATTACTACTTTGCCTTTCCTAGATTTCATTAGAAGCTGAACTTAAGCTACCAGAATCTGACCAGGGATGGCTCATTTAAAATATACCCCACATTCAATTCAGATATCCTTAGAACAGGCATTCACTTCCCACCTCCAGCAACAGAATTACCAGTGTTCTTGAAGACAAATTCAGCTTTCTTATCTTTAAGCCCTTGAAAGGAGGTAGTCAAAAGGGAACTCTAAACACTATCTTTAAAATGAGACTTTTATTTACAGAAATTGTCTTTGAGCATTTCTCTGCAAGATACCTGTACCATAATCTAGGAGACAGGAATTAAGATTGGCTTAAAGAGTCTCGTTTAGCAATTCTCTCTTAGCACCTCTGTTGCTCTATGCTAATCTTCACAAGGGGAAGAAAAATTACCCTGGAAAATTAAAATACCTTCACAACATTCTGTCTGAATTTATCTGCTACCCACATAATGGACTCTAGAGTTCAGTTTAAGCAAGTCAGTGCACAGAAAGACCAAAGAACAAGGGGAGAAAAGCGCACAGTGAAAAGTCAGTTTAATGAAATCTTGCATGACAAATTATGGCAATTATCATAATTGGAATTCCTAAAACTAGAGAAGATTACGGGGAAACATGGTAAATTTTCAAATATATAATAGGTTTCTAGAAAGGAAATAAACCATTTTCTACACTCACCAGGAGAACAAGAGGTCAGTCAAACTGCAGAATGGGACGCATTAGGAACAGTCATCTAATGGCAGTAATACCTAAGCAATGGAATTGATACCTCAGTGACTGGGAACAGGGGGGAGAGTCATTACAAAGTTGGAGATTTTTTATTCCTGCAGGCTTCTAACATCTGCCCAGCCTAGTTTCAGTGGAGGACTGCTGAGGACTAGTTTATTTAGATCTTTCTCTGCTCTGTCTTCTCTGAAGTAGTGCATCATGCACTGGGAACTGGACTACAGAAAGATGTTGTAACTACATATCTTCTTACCTTACTGTTTATATTTCCTGTGGGTGTAATCTTATTTTTAATTTTATGGATAAGAGATTTACTTCTGGTTTTAGTAACATCACCATTCTTGCAACATTTTCCCCATCAGATGTGCTCAACTGCATTACACTCTTCAGTATCTTTTTTTTCCTGGAAAATTTGAAAGGCTGTGCCCACATCAGTCAGCAGCCAGAACAAGATATATAGTAACTGCTAACAACATCCATATGTTAGCAACAGACCTAAGAGCAAAGATGCAGCAGGGGGGTGATGCAAGGGGAAGATTGTTGTAAGAAGGCAAAGCTGGTCATGACCAACCTGCCTTCTAACAGCCATTGCCCAGCACAGGGAATACAACGCAGGGCTTTGGGTGTTTTGTTTGCTTGTCTTCTGATAAAAGCTTTAATGTAGTTCCCCCATACATTTTGATAGGACAGTCTTACGTAAATCTTTCAAAACACATGGGCATTATCTGGTTTTATCTGTCACCAGTCTACTAAGGCTTAAAGCAGAGAGCGAAATAAGAGTTTTGCTTTGGCCTAACTACATCTTGCTGGGCAGAGCCTGAACTCAATCTACAGCCAATTCTGTTAGTGCTTCACACTAGTATTTTCCTCTTCACTATAAACATATATGCAGAGCTTCCAGCTGAAATAAAATTTGTACCAGTAAACAGTCGCCAGATTTTTTTATAATGCTGTAGGCTCATCAAAGCAAGCATGCTTATTCCATTTTTCTGAATGTTCATGCACCATCAATTTCATTTTAGGTAAAGCACCTCAAAGTGAGACTCTGCATAGACCCTCTGGAGTTTGGGACCAGGAAATAACACCTGTTTCTCCACAAGTAGGCCCTGCTTACCAAGACACCTTATTAATTTTCTTTATGCTGACAGCAACCAGCTTTATGCTGCAAGGTTGTTTGAAAAGAGTAGTTTAAATCTGAGTATCTCAGTGTAAAAAGATCCAAGATCCAAAATGCAGATCACTTATTTGAAAATACAGAAGTTCCCCAGACCTTGTGATGCAGAAACAATTGTGTGGGTGGCTATTAAGAAACAGGCTATGCTTCTGTTGGTGAGCTGCATGAGAAGGGGTGCATCAATAGGTTCGTGCATGGTTAAAAAAACCCGTAACTCTTAGGAGAAAAAAAAAAACAAAATGCAAAGAGGCATGAGCAGACAACCCAGAGAAATCACAAATGCAGTGGCACAGCTAATGATCAGCCCTTTTCACTCCCCGGAAAAGTAATCCAAGATGTTCCTTCAACAGGCTATCAGGAAAAGCAAAGCACCCCCCTGCCCCTACAGCTTAAGTCTCCAACAACAGTTAACAACAGACAACAGGTAAAAAACATGTTCTTGACTCCCAGTGAAGGAAAGTGTGTTTCATTAAAATGGAGGCAATAAGGACTGTTTTGGTATTTGAATAATTTCTAAGTTGCTTTTGTGCTACAACCTGGGTTTTCGTTTTCAATTCATGCTACATTAAATGCTTCTTCCCCTTTAGTTTTCTTTTAAATGGTGCATTTTAGATCTCCTTAACCTACAGGAAAAAGAGCAAGCAAGTGAGAAATTATCTACCAGTAAACTATTTATAAAGGAAATAGAACAGTTTGGGGAATTTATAGGGAAAGTGAGAAGTTATTTATCAGTAAACTATTTATAAAGGAAATAGAACAGTTCAGGGAATTTACAGGGAAAGTGATCTGGTCACCATTCTTAGTGACCACCAAATTCCACCTTTGCTGGACAAGAATATACCGTATGTTTTAATAACAAAATAAAACTCAACTTTCACACAAGAGGCCCAAATGATTAGAAAACATCCAAAGCAAAAAGTGAGTTATGCAATAGGAGTACTTCAGAATTACACACAGGAAAACACATTCTTGCTTTTATTTTGGTGGAACAGAATACAATATCCTTCAGCCCAAACTATTCAAAGCTGGCAATATTACCTTCTTCTTCATGCTGCAAGACTTCAGGAAACAGAACAGGGACAGGAAGGGTTAGAAGTGAATTTTCTATTTAAGGCTGTTAATTCAGCAAGATATTTAAAAATGTACTCAACCTTAAGCGTGAATAGTTGCATTGACTTCAGTAAGATTATTCACATGTAGTTAAGTCAGGCAAGTGCTTAAATGGCTTGTTGAATCAAGCCATTAAATGAGAGCTGCTTTATTATACAGATTTATTTTAATGGCTGACGGAGCTCATTACATGAGCCTATTTTATTCTTCCAAGGGCTAACAGCTGTTTCCTCATCAACTTTTCTGAAGGTGTAACCTGTATGCCTCCTACACTTTACTGTAGCCACAGAAACATATAATTTTCTAAGAAAAATTGTATGCAACATCTATTATATATAGTGGCTTAGCTCTCCCTTAAATAGTAACAGAAAAGAACAGTACAAAACAATAGTTTCACTTTGTCAACACACAAGAGCATCTTATTGAAAAACTAAAATAAAAAAGTATCACCACAATATAAATCCCCAAATAATAATAATGAAATGGGAAGAAAGAAAAGGAGTTAGCAAAACATCCTGTGGACTTTAAAGTCTCTTATTACCGCATTAAAAAAGCTTTTCTGGTGAACCACAATGTTTTGTTTCTCTCTGTTTACAAACCCACTAGACAGGGAACAACAGTGTCCACAACCTACGTTGGGATTAAAAGGTAAAAACACAATCTGCCCCATCTGCAGTCCAAAACCAGAATGAACCCAAAAGGGCAGTCAGCGAGCGTACGAACTGGTGAGGACACGGTTTCCCTGCAGGTGGCAGAAATTCGTAAGGGGGAGTAGGAGTTACGAAAGCAGAATTCAAGTTGGAACCATGTCGCAAAGTTCTATCTCGGAGGCCTGCAAGACATGAACTACTGAAGAAACAGTCAAAAGGTCCCAATGAAAAGCTGTGACAAGCTGTAATGTGCCATTTCAATTACAAGGAAGAGGGGAAATGTTTGGTTTTTTTTTTTTTGGCTCATCAATATGATGAGCTTTCACGTCCCAAACCACATTCAGGTAGTTTCCAAGTCTGCTTTTTTTGTGTGGAATCTACTGATCCAGACCAAAAAACCAAACAAACAGAACAGGGATGCACAGTTCTTAAGTCCTGGAGCCTTCAACACTGCCTGAAATAATAGCTGGCCTGGAGTATCCAGAGATGCCTGCAAGATGGTGTTCATAGCAGCCTTGCAAGCAGATCAGCTCACATCTGCTATGTGCTGCCAACATTCTGCCCGTCACCTTCATCATTAGGACCTGAAACAAAGAAAGTAGTTCTTTGTCATAAGAAATATCTTTTGTTTCTTGCCTTACAATAAGAGACCCTACCTGAGAAGCTTACAGAAGTCTCAGATTTAGGATTTTAATGACAGATGAGAACTGTAGAGTTCCCCCTCCCCCTGCCTTACATCTTCCAGATTAAGTACTGTCCACTGCAGAATTTTATGTTCTTGACTAATCTGATCTGGGGATCCCAGCAACATCCCAGAGCCTAAAAGCTCAGTTTCCAGCCTCTTCAATCCATGCACTGTGTTTGTTCATATTCATTCCTTCTTTTTTCCCTTGCAGTGAATCAGGATGGAGGACCAGTCTCTGTCAAAGGTTGGATGTTCTAAGCTATAGGAAAGCAAAGCACAGATGACTCCCAGGTCAGGAGTACAGAAAGAAGCCTTCCTCAAACTGAAGAGTAGTGCTTTTCTTAAATTATGGCCTCCTCATATACAACTAAATTAATTACACTCCTTCCATGCCCCTTTGCAAAGCTTTTGCTTTCCAAATAGCACTCTACTCAAGGGTCAGGCTGGATCCTGGCTGCTGAAATTAGCCCAAGACAGTCATCTCACGTTTTAAGTGCAAGCCTTGGCCATGTTGAAGGCAAAAATGAAACTCTCAACCACCCCTTAAAAATCCTGTAAACAAAACTAGAACTAATTGAAGCACAGATAACCTCTGCTAAACTGTGACATGTAACTCAGATGGAAGCAGCACAGGGGCCTTTTTACCAGTTTGGAGAAGTAGCAAGAAATAGTTGCATTCAAAAAGGCAATTCATGCAATGAGTCTTATTCCACAAACACCTGTGAGAAGTAACAGGCCAGAAGTACATCTATAATATATAATTACAGGGAGGACAGTGTGCCTTAAAGAATGATAGAGGAAAATGTATGGAAAACAGGAAACTCCACTGTCTTTCTTGCTTACCACTTCCAACTGATCCTGAAGGTGCAATGACATCATCATCACTGTCTTCCTCATTTGATTGCGTTACCTCTGGCTCAGGTGCTACATTCTTGACTTCTTGCTCTTGTTCCACTCTACTCCGCAATGCCAAGATCCGATGGTGTAATGCAGCATAGAGCTGCCCTGTATCTTTAGAGCTTGCCTACATTTTTTTTAATATTCAGAAACAAGAAAAAGGTGCAAGGAATTATAACAGCATAAAACACTGCTTACATAATACACACCAGTCATGCCAAATTTCACAATCTACTTTTCAGCTTTCTCATATACGGTTTTTCAAACTAGGTCAGAATGGGCTGTAGTATACATAGCAAGATGCTAGATATACTAAACTCTGATGGTGAGAGATGTTCCTCTCCACTCAGTGCCGACTTTCTCTGGCTAACATAACCAGTACTAGCTGGTTTTATATAACCTTCTTCACCCAGCAGTCACACTGCTTTCCTGACAACCCCCCAAAAGCTTATGCTAAAAAGATCTTTAATTAAAAGTTTGTCTTACACAGATTTTTCCAGGTTTGTCAATCACTCAGCTTCACATATTAGTTAATCATAATCAAGTCACTTAATTGTTTCATGATGCATCGACATAAAATTTCAACATAAGATATAATGAGAAAACTGAATGGACATGCAGTCAGGCAAGTGATAATTCAGAATTTTTTTTACACTCTCTTTTATACTAGTCAGCTATTTCAGAGGGAAGCATTTGTGACAACCTGTCCAAGAATTTTTTTTTACTCTCAAAGGTTAATGGCGACTTCATGCCTTCAAAAGAATCCATTTTTAGGCCTATCGAATTAAGTATTTAATGGATATTATTTAAAAGGGAATTCCCTTCTGAATACTATGAAACTCTGTCTTCACTATATCAATGAAGTCCTCATATTAACTACTACTGCTACCCCACGTTAACTGTAAGGTAACGATCCCAGTTCTCAGATTCTATCATAAAAAAATTGTTTCCATCCTCCCCATCTGTCACTTAAATCTGTCATCTCTATATCTGCAAAATTCCCCTGCAATGAGCTGTGGTGAATAAATTATTCCATACAAGATACTTTTTATCAATACTAAAATCAATAGTGAATAACCTGATGACAGACTAACTCAAACTTGTCAAATCTAGAAAAATGCTGAGAAAGAGTCATCCACTAATTTCACTGCTTTTTCTTCATCAATGGATATTCGGTATCATTAAGTTTCACTCTGGGACTCTAGATCCCAGTCCTACAAACCTAGTATCACAGGGGAAGCTGACCATTTCTTGCTGTTCTCTTAATTTCTGATCCATAAGAACACTTAATTCTTTAGTAACCCCTTGTGTAGAATCAGTGTAAGTCAAAAGAATGTGTTCAGACCTCTCAAAATCTGTAAGCGCTCTTAGCAGACATTAGGGAATGACCTTTCTTTCTTGCTGACTGTATCATAATCTCCCAAGCATTTCAGTAATTCTAATTGGGGTTGCTGTTTCCCCATTTAGCAAGCACAGAAATCACTTTCACTGACCTGCTACTACTTGGAATACTCTATTAAAAGAACATCGAAGTTAAAATGTGTTACCCTTAACTACTAACACAATGTTCTTGACAGATACTTAATGTTTCACTTCAGTGAGCACCTCTACATCCACCCACACTGTAGATAGACAATGACAGCTTTCTCATTCTACAAGTTCTGGTAGATCGAATTTTGGTTAAGCTACTACATAAAAATCTATGAAATGTCTATTTCCCTTGATAACAAAAAATGATTAGCATTAATCTTACACTACAGTTACAGTCTTAATAGGCGTGGAACAGATCCCATGACTCCATGGTCCATGCTTTGGACAATCTGGCTTCCCAGAGCAGCCTTTTATGTGGAATTTCTTCACAACTAATAAGGCTTTTCAGACAAGCAAAGTCTGCCAAGCCCCTTGTCTTTTGGGAGGGGATGGTGGTAAGGAGTTAGGGTGCAAAGAAGAGTGGGAATGTTAACTCAACTACAATTTAAACAAGCGTCAATTTTAGTAGGAAGGTTAAGGTGTGAACAAAAAAACAGTACTCACCGATATAAGAAAAACTTTAACTCCCTGGTCCTCTGTATCCATGGCAGTGATCCGGATACTTTTCTCACTGGCTTTATCGATCTGCATCTGAGCCCAGAGCTTGGTATTTAGGATTAACCTGAGACTCCCCTGAGTCCTCATCACTAAAGCCAACATACAAGATCAGTTAGGTAGAAAAGGACACAACAGGAAGCTCAAAACAGTCCAGATGGCTTTTTGTTGTGTGAATGTTTAAGTCTCTTTACAAAGAATATAAAGGGAAAGCCCTTAAAACAGGAATTTGTCACAACTATTAATCAGAAGAATGTAGGCTATTAAAGATTATCAGTCATGCCTGAAGATATTTAGTCCAAAGTCTTATATGTTAATATATCAGTGGTTGGATCTGAGCTGATAATCTCAGGCTAATACACATTCCTGCCAGCCTGAACAATCGTGCACTATTCGGAGACTTCCCACACACAAGCACCCCATCCCAAAAAAGCAAAGAGCCCATATCTGAAGAACATTACCATAAACTTCTAGTCAAATATTCTAGTTGCTACATACAGCTTGCTTTTATGGGCGTAGGGGGAAGTAACTGGAACATTTGCTACAATAGGAGAATATGAGAAGATAGTCTCTTTGGAAGAAATGGTCATATAATTGAAGCAAGAGAAAAGGTCCAAACTGCCTTCTGAGTTGCTGTATCTAAGACATAGCCTAAAGCGGATGCTGCTGTGTGTCATGGAAGCATCCTATGAAAAGAGCACTGACTATCATCCAGTACCTCATTTCCCCTGGTTCCTCTTACCCAGCCGAGACTGTAATGTTCCATCATCTGTTGAGGCCATATCATTGAGTCTCAGAAGTCCGCGACCTCTTTCCACCCAAGACTGAGAGTTTTTATCAAACACAAACAGCTTGCACTGAATCTGTAACAGAAATATCTCTATAGCATAGTGGTTGACTGAAGTAATAATATATGTCATATTTAGTCACCTACAGCTGGTTAAAAAACCCTCAGATTTCATATTGGAATTTTAAACTGGTTATAGCTGCAGAAACCAAAGTAGTCTTCCTCTCTTTTGCAATAAATTCTTCAAAATTTGCTAACTGGTTTCATAAGATTTTATTAAGAGAAGGTAGATATTCTTGAAGAATGCTTGTGTTGAAGATCAAACAGCAAGAACAATTTTCAGATAAGGTACAAACTTCCAGAAAGTAAACTTATTGTGATAGAGACTGGGTAAGTGTCATCTATAATCTTAGATCAGTCAATTCTTTTAAAAGTCTTAGGTGCACTTTGCACCATTGAAGGTGGTATTTGTTGCTGGGAAGACCCAGCGCAATGAAAGCAAAGCAAAATTCCTCCTGTATTAAGGAAGAAAGGATGAACAAACATGTCAGTTCATTGTCAATTCATAAAGCCTGACCCATGCAAAGTCATGAATAAACAAGGGTATTTTTCCTGCCTTCATGGTTCATCAGTTTGAAAAAGTACACCTTTTGTACTTTCTAATGGCAGGACTGTTCCTGCTTCCCATAAAAGCTCCCTTTTTCCTGCCCTACTAAACATCTCTACTTTATATCCCCCCTCTATAATCATCTTCACTGTCACTGCCGTGGTTTCGTACTTCAAACTGTCACCTAGTGCATGCACTAGGTGGATAACGTATTTCCATTTTTTGCTCCCTCCATTTCTCTCATTTTCTCCAACACAGAACACCTAGGTCTGTATACTTCATTTCTGCAACATTAACATAGTTCTGTCAGTACAAGTCCCATTTGGGATTCCAGTGCATTAAATTTCACAGGAAAAAAGAACAGAAGTTAGGTGAAAGGTCTGTTAAGTTACAACATATTCATGCAAATCAGTCCTCTATTAAGTATACAACTGCTAAAAGTTGTTGTTTTCCTAAGTGAAACAGGACTTTCATCTCCTCAGTGTCGTGTTCGATTACATGAAGCATCCAGGAGTTTCTGAATTATATAGAAACAGAGAAGTACCAGAACAACTACTTAAAGACCATTCATGTCTGGTAAAAAGAAGTCTGAGAAGACAAATGTTACAGATTATTATTTTGTTGGATAATATAAGTGTAACTGATACGCATTAGTTACTGACACAGTGCATCGGTTTGGTGTCAGAATAGACCAGCATGTCTGTAAGAATAAAAAGCTATCCTTAAAAAATAATGCAGTTCAAGTGCTGAGAAACTTAAAAGATCTCAAGAAAAAAAACATAATTGGACGATAAAGAAAGGAGGAAAAAAAACCACTTTTACACAAAAATCCTGCACGTTTTTCTTAAGGACATACTGAAGTTAATAAATGTATTTAAGTTAATGAAGAACTACAATGTTAAATAAATCATGATTCAAATCAGGAGTCTAAGTCATGACCAAATGTCCTTCTAAAACATCACTAATTCAATTAAGTACCTCAAGACAAATTGTGAGTACTGTTTTAGGGTTTCTGCTACGCAAGAAGCCAGATTGCTGGCATAATAGTCCATTCTGAGTTTTAAAAAAATCTTCAGTAGTACAATAATTAAAAAACTTAAAAATATTTAGTTCATTTAAATTTTCTTCAAATAATCATTTTGTTGGATATGAAAGCTTTTATGTGATAGATTCAGGAAAGTATGCTTAAGATTTGTCTGGATGGCCCAAATACTAAAATTTATTCAGAAAGAGGAAATTAAGAAACAACAAAGTAAGGATCTGGTAATAAATATCCAAAGTTTGCATTTTAACACAAGAAAGTACATTAGAGATATAGAGGATGGCTGAGCTGTAGGGAATCAGGTGGTGTGCATTCACTGGACATCCATATGAATCCCCATAAACTCAAAGCTCCTCTACTTTATCCATTTCTTACCTGTAACACATTACTTTCAGCTTCCTCCCCAGTAATCACTTCTACCTTCGCTAATAAACACTTCCTTGCTGTTGCTTTAGTATAGGCTGCTGCAGACTCTGCCAGTGATTCTGAAATATTATTAGCTGAACAACATTTTGAAAGTTTGAGAACGATTAGCATATAATTTTTTAAGATTTATAAAGGTCTCACACAAGTATACCAGAATTTGGAGAAATAAAGGACAGAAGATGGACATTAATAGCACATTAGAAATAGGATTGAAATTTAAAGCAGAAGTTAAAGCTTGTCTTTTAAGACTTGTTTTAAAAGCACAAGGAGACACAAGGGACAGAAGTAGTAAGTTATTGAAAGATTTTTTCCCCCCGCATATAGTATTTCAAAACCTTTGCTAACACAGGCGCACCTACGTATCTGTAGGTGTTCCAGCAGAACTGATACTTCTACCAGCTATACAGTTGTGCCTACACATGTACAACACAGTTCATTTTCCACTTTTATTTTGGCTTGCAAACAGTTTGCTGGAGAAAACCTATAGCTCCCAAAAGGTCCAGAAAATCTTGCCAATCCAAAGAGTCACACAGGTCTAGAATCCAGCAAACAGTTCTTGGTTCATTGGTGCACCCACTCAATACAATATACACGTGACTCAGACATTCAGTCACTGGAAGTGTAATAGAATTGTTAAAAAACAGTTTGCCACGTTTCTTTTACACTCTGTAGGTCCAAGTACCTGCTCTGTTAATTCCCTCTACTTTCATTCTGCTGAAGATACTCCCAATACCACAGAACGACCATGAAAAAGACAGTGTAGCCTGTACGTGTTTAATATTAAAGACAAAAGGTCAAGAGAATCTATAGCATCCAGCAAATCACCTCCCACCCCAAGCCTATACCTTCGGTTACAGCAGACAGTAAAGGCAACATAAAAATACTATGTTTTCATAAAGTAACGGGATATTGAAAAAATGCGATCATTTAAACAAGGATTAACCACCATTCCTAAAATAATATTTTGTTTTTCACCTTTCTCTGGTGTGGCTTCCTGAGAAGATGATTCAGACCCAGACTCTGTAGCAGCATTCTCCTTATTACTCTCTGTACTACCTTCATTTGATTTTGGTGGACTCTATCACAAAAAGAAGAGGAGGTAAACAGAAGAGAGAAACCATACACTAATTTTGCAGAACAAGACTAGTGATCAACTATAAACACCTAGTGTTTATAAACCATACAGCAAAAGAAGAATCCCACAAACGACATGCTTTCACAGTAAAAGCTATCCTACTACCCTGGCCAAGGAATTGAATGGAGCATGACCTCAAAACCAGTTCAAAGTATTTTCCCCTGAACTGAAACCAAATTTCAACCCTTATTTTGAAGTTATGTTCAACAAAGCAAACCAATTTCAGCTACAGTTCAACTCAAGGCATACTTGACTGAACTCCCTGCTCAGTGGTTAGACAGCACAGCATTAAGTGTTTCCCTTTTGTACCAACATAGCAATAAAAACAACAGTAGGAAACAGTGAGGCACTAGAAGTTATACCTTACACAATAAACAGAATTTCCTGAATCACACCTCCGTACTGAGGAAGCTGCCTTACTGCTGGACTTGAAATGCCATCACTGGGGAAGTCATGCAACTGACCTTTTCTCAATTTGGAGGACAGCAAACATAAAACACCCTCAAACACTTATATTGAAGAAGCCATTTAAAGAAGCAAGCTGTGCCATGAAGTGCTTGGACTTGAGAACCACATGCACTACAGAGAAGGCACTCAATCTCTTTACACAAGGTAGAGCTTGGCAGGGAAATCCTGGAGAGCACTGCTGTTGCAGACAATAGCTCAATGAAACCCCCACGCTGCACTCAAAGTAAGTTACCTGTAAGTGAAACCACTGAAAGAAAACCATGCTCCAGTGCAAGTACAATTAAAGGTCCTCAAAATTCCTGAGTGAGAATCCATAACACAAACTAACTCACAAAATTACAACATTTCATACACAGTGGATACTCACTAGGACTCGCTCACTCATGTTCTGTCCAAAAACAAACTTGTTGCTAGATGTATCTGCACTGTTTGTAGAGTTCTCTACACTGAAAAAAAGAAAAAACCCAAACCAAAACAGGTTTTGTAAGTCAGAAAAATATCTGTTTATCTTCTACTGATAAAATTCCTCAAAAAGTGAGCGATTGGCACTGGCTTTAAAAATTAAGCACTGGTTCACGCAGAAACATAAGCAAAAATTAATCCAACTTGGTAACATGAGAGCACATACTGGTTTTACAGAATGAGAATTCTCTCAGAATAATGGCAAACGATTTTGTCATTGTAAATATCTTCCCTTTATACATCTAATTACATATTAAGCAATGCTGAATGCTAAGTGAGGGCTTACTGTTTAATCATATAACATGCCTTTTTTTTTTAACAGTATTCTACATACACAAACTTGAACCACTACACATTTTTAGGTCAATTTTCTCAGAAAGGGAAAGAACTGAAAACAAAACCACTTGCAATATCATAACTGAAGCAAAGCTAGCAGGGATAAGTAATGCCTTTTATTAGACTAGCTGCAATGCTACTGCCTCCCCAAGAAGTTTCACGATCAAATCTCAGCCCTCATTATCTTCCTTATAGAATAAGCATCCTCCGCCCATGCGGCATTTTTATTAACAGATTTTAAATCCCATTTAGGAAAGACAATAGTTTTACTATTTTACAGACTCAAAAACTTAACAAGTCATTGTTCATCTGCCTTCCCTTCAGGCATACTGCTCTACGATGTCAACATGCTTACTAAGTGAACATGCAGAATGTAGACCATTTGAAATCAAGCCTAGGTGCATTTCACTAAGTTTGGAAAATGGGGGCACATATGTCACTACACGATTCAAGCAGAATCAAACCTTTAAATCCCGCATGTAGAGTTGCTACTTCTAATTAAGAAAAATCAAAGAACAAAGGAAATCCTCAGGGGAAGAAAGTTTTGCCTACTAAGGGAATTAAGTACCACAGTTCTGAGCTCCAAATGCCAACTGGGAACTCAATATGATCTACCGTATCTGCCATGTGACCTAGTACATGTACAATTTTTAAAGGACTGGCAGTGTGTTACACAAAGGGAGGAGTTTTCCTTTTACAAGTTGACTGCCATAATGTCTTGCCATCTCAGACGGCTAAAAACCAGAGCCAACTCCACTTAGAGATGCTTATTTTTTTTAAAGGCAAACCCAAAAGTAGGTTTCTGGCAACGACCTACTATGAATAAATCCTCCCAAAGTGAAGACTCAATCGAAATAGGGCAGTAGATGTCATACAGGTTGAAAGATAAACAAATATTCCAGTATTTGAAGCCCACATATTAGAAGTTATTGTCTGCCAAATCTGATCAAAAAAATCTGACAGTGTCTCTGGAAAGGCATTGACCTGCCATCCACGGTCACTCTGTGTGGCATTCTCTACCTCTCCAGTGCATCATCTGAAAGTCTCAATGTCAAAAGGGATTAAGACTGCAAAACTACCTAGAGCCTACTTTGTGGTGAAGGCCATGCAAGTGAACAAGGTCTTAAAAATGCAGAATATAAGGACAAGGCAAGCACACACTGGTGCTTCTCCTACAATTATTTTGTGGCCTCAAACAATCTGCAGTTCAGGTTCCTCCAGGAGCAGAGATGTGGCTCTACTCTATTGCTCTCAGTGGGATCTTCCCCCCATGCTTTTCCAGTTATTACTTGAATTCACAGCTCTGTGTATTAAGAAATTCTCTTCTGTTTTATATTTTCTGTAACACTACTTGATTTTTTTGACCACTACTGAAGTAACATTTTCATAGAGCAGTACCGAAATCTTAGCCTTAAGTGAAGGCTGTCAGTTCAGAGTTCATCACTGTATATATAGAATTAGCACAGTTTTCTCCCAGCTGCCTCACTTCATGTATACCTACATCAAATTTCTTCTGATGCTATTGCCTAATCAGAAATTCTCTCAAAGACCTCCCAGAGTTAAGTTCCTGCTTATTCATACAGGCCCTCCTTATTCCTCTGAAAAGCTTATGATCATGAACAAGTAACTTTTTTTAAAACTATTCTTCCCTTTACCCACATCATATATGAAACATATTGAACAACACAAATACAGCACAGGTTTCTACAGGATTCTACTGTTGGCTCCAATTTATTCCATCACAGTTTCTTTCTAATCATTCATGAGAAGACTTCTCTCATCTTATGCTTGTTAGCTTTCTGAAGAGGCTTTGGTGAGGACCTGGCCAAGTAAACGGTGTCAAATGCATCTCCCTTGACCAGATGATTGAGGATTCCCTCAGATCTGAAGTTTGCCACCTCATTCTTCAGAAGCCTGGGTTCCCACTGACCCAGTATAAGCCCTGCATCCAATAAAGAGCAGAATCGCAAGTAACTTTGAATACAGAAATAAGGAAAACTGTCCTATAGGTTTCCCTGCAGTCTCACCTGGAACTGATGTACTGTAGAAAATAATTTGTTGCAGAAGGTACGTCTGATGGAGGAAGCCCAGCATTCTGCACATCGGCAGTTTCATCGCTTTCATCTCCTAGCTATAAAAAGAGTAAGTATATATTGACAGTTTTAACTACTGACCACAAAATTTTCAGCTCATTCTTTCCCAAGACAAAGTTCCATCCACGAACACTTTCTACAATAAAACCATATAAGCCTACGTCCCAGTATTACACTTCCTTTTGTTATGCTAGGAAACCTGCGCAAACCTGTCTTCAACAGGAGGTACTAACAATCCAACTCAATTACTCCATGCACACGTTTGAACCCAGGCTGCCCTATTTTTCTTTTCTCACCTTTTCCATGAAATCTTGGTTGCATGGGAGCATCTTAGGAACACATTTCAACTTAATTCTGACCCAAAAAGTAAGAGAAAACATTACATCACACTGAGCTTTAGATGTTACCTATGATTGCAGTAGATGCGTTTATTTTTGAAAAAGGTTCTTATGCTACTAAACAGTAATATTTATTTATTAAATGTCTGGAAGACCAGTTTTACTAAACAGCCAACTGAACTGTCTTCACAGCTTCTAATTTTGCATATATACATGGAGGTTTTAACCCTGTTACATAGTGGCTTCTAAGTATTTCATATGCTCATGCCAACAAATGATCTGTTCCATTGCTTCTTATCCTCACTTAAATACATCAACTCTTATTCAAGATAACAAACACATGTTTACCTTAACTCTATCTCTTAAGTTTTGCCCAAATACAAATGCTTGCTGTGCATTTAGTTCCGCCTTCTCACAGCTGTCATCATCTGAAGTATTGTTGGACTCTTTTTTCTGACATTCTCCTGCCTAAAGAAAAGAAATTGAAAACTTTAGCCTAGGTAATTGAGTTTATTTAAACAAAACACACAAATTATGGCATGCTGAGTCACACAGTCATTTACAATGACAAGCCAATAATATCTCCAGAGCTACAAGACAAATTTTACATTTAAAAAAATCCTCTGTTGTTTAGAGCATCGTTCATAACAAGTCACAGAATAGTTAAGGTTCAAGGGGATCTCGAACAATCATTTGGTCCAAATTGTACTCAAAGCAGCATCAACTTCAAAATTCTGCTAGGCTACCTGAGATCTCGTACAGTCAAGTTTCAAAAAAATTCAAGAATGGCAGTTTTACAGTTTGCATAGCCATACAGGTTCATAGGTTCAATGTTTGACTGCACTAAATATGACAGTTTTGTCCTAATATTGAGCTGGAATCTCCCTTCCCTACAATTGCACCCTCCCATTTGTCTGGTAGGCACTTCCAAGTCTCATTCTATCTTGCTACAGCCCACCACTAGATAGTTGAGGAGTTCAATACCCCCCTTCCCTAGTCCAAGCAGAACATATTCAACGTTTTCACTCTCTAATAAGACATCATGTGCTCCACCACTAGTCACCTTTCACTGCAGCTGCCATGGCAGTATTTTCTCCGATTACTCTCATACCATAGTTCTCATCCCATTATACTCAGGGCCTTGCACCTGCAAACCCCTATAGTGGTGTTGGGAAGCAATTACAACCAGCATGGGAATCCCCCCCTCCCTTTTCTCTCCTAATTTCCTACCTTGTAGCTTTTGATTTACATTACAAGACCCAACAATATGCATGCACAAAGCCTAACAACTAATCAGCACACAGCAAATGCCCTTAATCAAAGCATGCTCCAACTAGCATTAACAGCATTATAAGCAGAAAAAAAAACCCTCGAAACAGCAGGAAGTTCGAGCACACGCTGATGAAAACTATATAGTTACTGTAGGAAGAGTATGATGGGGTACCACCTGCTCCACTGGAGAGGACACCCAGGGGGAAGATGTCTGTCTGGGGAGCCCCTTGTCTTCCTGGCTGGCCCAGGGAAGTTTTCCCTTTTCTTTCCCCTTTCGCTCTCCCGTCCTCCAAAATAAAATAACTGCCATCCTTAGAAGGAATACTACCACCTACAGACCCTGCTAATAAATTCTGTACATGAGAACTTGTCTGCATAGCTGCTTTCTAGCCAGTCACTCTCCTTGAGACACAGGGGTTCTCCTCACCTCAGGTACAGGACTTTGCATTTGTTGACTGTCAATTGGTTTCCCATGGCTCATTTTTCCAGCCTGCTGACATCCCTCTGAACAGCCCTGCCTTCCAACATATTGACCATTTTCCCCTTCCCTCAGTTTACTGGCATCCACAAACTTAGTAAGATTAACTCCACCTTGCCAGGTTGTTCATGTAAACATTAAATAGTACTGACCTCAATACCAGCCCTAAAGGAATGCCTCTCGTAATTGGCCACCCATCAGACTTTGAACCACTGACTGCTACCCTTGAAGCTCACTGGTTCAGCCAATTTTCCACCCACTTTAAATTCCACCCAACCAGTACATCTCTCTCCAATTTGGCTATGACAATGATACTAGAGACCATCCATGCCAAAGATCTTGCTGAAGTCAAAACCAACAAGTATTGCTCTCCACACAGCCAATCATCTCGGGGTGGGGAGGGGAGGGGGGATGAAGAATCAAAAATCAGGTTGGTCACCGTGTTTTAATCCATGCTGGCTGTTCTCAGTCACTTCAAGGTGCTTCATATCCTAGGACTCCTTCACCAGGACGTGAGAGGAAGGGGCTGAGCAGTTTCTACTTTCATGAATCATCTTTCTTGCCCTTCTTGAAAATGTGTGCCATGTTCTCTTCTTCCCCAGTAACACGGACCTCCCACAGTACCACAACATTTTGATGATAGGCAGTGGTCTCACAGTAACAGCAGCCAGCTCGCTCAGCACCCATGAATGCATCCTGTCTGGTCCCATGGACTTGTATGTGTCAAACTGTCTTAGAAGGTCCTTAAGCAAATTTACTGTAGTAAGTTACTCCCCCAAACTTCCCCTAGGAAAAGGGACCTGGCAGACCTGACAGCAGACCTCTCCAGTAAAACCAAGGCAAAGGCATTGACTCCCTCAGATTTTTTCATGTCCTTCATCACTAGGTTCCCTCCAACATTTGGCAGCATGCCTACATTTTTCCTTCATCTTGCCTTTACTGCTAATGCACCAGTAGAAGCTCCTCTTGCAGCCCTTTCATCCCCAGTCATTTCCAACTCCAGCTAAGCTTTGGCTTTCCCAGTTCTCTTCCCACACATCCAGGGCAATCCTTTTGTATACCTCTTGGGTACCTTGACTTCTTTCCCAACTTACACCCTGCCACACTTGCACAATTTCCTGCACATTGGAACAAACTACTCATTCTCTGAGGTGGTTGTCCATAAAGATAGCAAGCTCTCCTGAGCCCTTCTGTCCTTCAGGATCCTACCAACAAGCTCAATGAACAAGCTGAAGTCTTCTCTCCTGAAGTTTGGGTCTTTATTCTGCTACTTTTACCTCTACTTATTCTACTCCTTCTTTACCTCAGTCTTTAATAGTCAG